GTGTGTGTGCAGGAGGCAGGAAGTGTCGGCTCCCTCTCGGGAGTGGGGGGGCGGTCAGCTAGAAGTTTCCTCCCTTAGGCTTCTGACAGTCTTACCTCTCAGACAGCCCGGAACTCCCTGGTTTCTGGGGATCTGTAAAAACCGAAGGCACAGATTGGGGGGGTCACACGCTGTAACTCAGAAGCCCAGCCTTCCCCTCAAAGCCCACCCAAGGGGACCCCCCCAACTCATGGAGTGGTGCTTGTGTCAGTCCTTCCCTCAGCTGCAGGCGGGTGTCGCCCTGGGCTCTCGCCCTGGGTCCTCAGCACAGAGGGGCAGAGGGGGCCCTGACGGCCACGGCAGGTACCTTCAGACTCCTTGCTCTTCCGACACTTGAACCTTAGACTGACCACGCTGACTAGGACGATCACCACAACCACCAGGATGACAATGAAGCTGATAACACCTGAACAGGGAAAAGGATGAGGTGAAAGGAGGCAGAGGAGGGCACGAAGCGGGCAGCCAGAGTCCAGAATTCTCTTCCCGGCTAAGTCCTGTATAGGCAGGCTCCGGGAGCAAAGTGCAGTCCACTTCGTGCTGAACAAACGAGCTCTCGGCCTGCTGCTGGCCAAGGTGGGCTCCACAGCCCAGCTCCAGCCCCCGTGAGAACATGGAAGAGCCTCCCTCCCACCAGGGCCTTCCTCATCGGCCAGTCCCTCCCGGAACAAATGGGTGAGATTTGAACTTGTGGTTCTAGACCCAGCGTCCAGGTCAAGTCCAGGGGTCGGGTCCCCTCCCATGCCCCGCCTCTCCTCCCTCTCTCACCAAATGCAGCCACAGTGAGCACCGTCTCTGAGGTGGGGCTGGGCAGGACCGTCAAGTCTTCCCTTGCGCTCAGGCTCGTGCTGGCTGAATCGGGAGTAACATTCTGAGACGTGTCTAAAATGGAGTGGGGTTAAGTACATCAGAGCAGAGGACCCACACAGCCTCCGGAGACAGCTGGCTTCCCTCCCACTTCCCCCAGGTAAAAGACCGCAGAGAGAGCTCACACCCTACAAAAAAGACTTCCTCCCTGCCACTCCAACCAGACCCCCTGAGGATGGAGGTCAGAACTGCGGTGATGTGGGGCCCTGTGAATAGCATTGCTGGTTGCTCGTGTTGCTGGTTCCAGAGGACTTCAGAAGATTCAGAATGTTTCCCTCGTTGTGCTCTTCCCACCACCCCTTGGGGCCCAGAGGAAAGGGATTTATGCTGCAGAGACAGGAAGGCAGACCGGGCAAGGCAGAGCCATCTGGGTTTTGCCAAGGGTTGAGGTGGGAGGAAAGAAGGGCCCCAGAGGCTGAGGCTCAGGTGCCCATCCAGGCTGCCAGTGAAGGGGCCCAGGTTTTTGGCCCCCTTAAAAAGTGCTACGGTCACCCCTTTCTTCCCTCCATGACTCATGCACTTCAGACCTGGTTGCTTGTTCCATTTGCTTATCTTTCCTCATACCCCCACCCAAATAAGTCCAGGGGTGTAAAAAAGCCCAGAGCCAAGGGATAAGATGACAGAAAGGGTCACAGACACCTCGCCTCAGCTCCTCTTCCTTCTGAGCCAGAACATACCTTCACCTGTGCGGCCGCCACTGCTGCTGCCACCGCGGCCGCCACCGCTGCTTGGGGCGCCTGTGCCTGCCGTGAGACAGCACGGCCCAGATGGGGGGCTCCACCCCTCCCCAGCTCTTCTCCCATGCTGCTGGGTGAAGGCCAACCTGCCCTGAGAAGAGTCTCGGCCTTTCCCAGCATTTTCTGCCTCCTTTCCCTTTGTTTCGGGGTCTTCCTCTCTAACTATGCCTTCCTCAGTCCCAAGTCCAGGCTCCTTTTACCTTCGCCGTGACCAGGCCCAAGTTCCTCTCTCCACTCCCCGCCAAGCCTCTCTCATTCTTTCCCAAACCAGGGTGCTGCGGATGTGGATCCTGACTGTGGGACAGCACCTGGGCCTCCCGAAGAGGGGAAGAAGGAACCCGCCTGGACATAACCCAGAGTCCTTCCGCCACCCACCGCCAGCCTGCCCCGGGCACTCACCAAGTCCTGATGTGTGTTTCTGTGGCTGGGCCCGAGTGGGGCCCTGCGAGAACGTGGAGTAACCGTCTACGGTGCTTGAGCCCGGTGTCAGCAGCGTGCTCGCTCCCGTGGGGGCCTGTGGGGCCTTGTTTGGAGCAGCTGGAATCAGGAAGCACACGGGGGCCTGCTCAGGGCCTCCACCAGCACGTGCATGGGGAGGGCTTTTCAGTTCAAAATCTTCCTTTTCTTTACCGCTTTCAATTCCAGAAGGGGCCAGTCTCTCATTTACCCCTGGGCCTTTACCTGTGCCGTGCCCTCCTCTGCCTGGAATACGCCCTGCCACCGTCCGCCCCACAGCCTTTGCCTGCACGCCCAAGTCCCTGGCTTCAGCTCCAGAGGCCGCTCACTCAGGCCAAGTCTGGAGTGCCTGACACTGCTCTGGGCTCCCACAGCGCCTGCTTGTGCCCGTCACAGGCTGCCTCGTCTGCTTTGTAATTGTCACCCTGAGGTTCTCTTCCCTTATCTGTTCCCCCACTAGTTTATATTGTCCTTTAGAGCAGAAACTGTCTGGCTCCTCACTGGGCCCTCCCTGGATGGCATTTGTAGTCCGAACACCACAGCACCTGGGGTACTGGTGCTGGGCAGAGGGCGTGGGCTGTTAGGCTCTGAGGAAGGGATGTGTCCTGCAAGGACACACATGGGGCGTTGGAGGCAAGGCAGGTTTGGTGACACCACACTCCCTCGCCCATCCAAGAACGCTTGGGCTCCAAGCAGGTCTGAATGACTGGGTGTGGGGCAGGAGAGGAGACCAGCTCCTCGGCAACCACACTTACCTGTATTGCGAGAAGTTGGCTTTGTGGTCAGGCTTAGACTGCTGAAGGCTCCTGCAACAGATCATAAGAGGTTGAGGGGTCCGCTGCCTCCTGTTGCTCTGTCTCCCTCTCTTCTTCCCTGTATCTGGTGAGTCTGTCTCCCCACCCCACTTCCCACTCCCAGCCATTCATCTCTTTCAAGACATGTTAGACTGGGCCAGGCCGAAAAAAATCCCTAGATGAGCTCAGCCTTGGATGAGCTCCTGAAAAGTCTGGTCCCAGCCCCAATTACCTGAGCTTAGTGCCAAACTGGCATAGAGCTCCTCTCACCCTCCCTAAGCTCCCAGGCCTAAATGCTGGAGTAGACCCTGTGTGTTTGCTCTTACCCTGAGAGCTAGAGGTCTGGGTTGTCATGGGCTGTGAGTTGTGGCCTGCAAGAGAAAGCAAAACACACAGACTAGCGTGGTGAGTCTCCCGCCCCGTACAGAACCCACAGAGAAAGCCTGGCCTTCTGGCTCTCTAAGCCCCGCATGCTGGAAGGCAGACACGCTCGGCAGAGGGCTAAGGGACATGGGCTCTAGCGCATGGTGCTGGCTTCCTCTGAGACTGACTCAATAGCACCATCACCACCACCTCATGGTTCAGAGTCCCAGAGTCTTTTCCTGTCTCTTCAATCCCACATGGGTATTATACCAACCTGGCACAAGGTCAGGGGAAGGTTATTTTAAATAGCAACACGTCCAAGGACAGAGGACCAATGACTGGTTGCATTTAGACAAGGACCCAGGACTCCAGGTCTCTAGGCTAAAGTTTACCCTAAGCTGCCACTGGACCATTCATTTTCCCCTGTGAAGACTGTCATCCTGGAGCTGCCCCAAGGGAAGGGGATGGGAAGACGGGAAGGTGAATGAGACGGGGCAGGAATTAGGGCTTGTATCTGGGCTCTCTCTGCGCCCCCCCACCCCCGCCCCAGCTGGAGGTAGGAGCCTGCAGAGGAAGCCAGTTCTGAGGTATACACAGGAGGCAGGGAAGCTCTAGAACGAGGAACCAGTTTACTCTTACAGGCAGAGGTTACTTAGGAAACGGTTGCTATTGGCCAAACCCAGAGAGGAGTCAGTTACCAGGAGTCCCTAGTCAGAGGCCTCCTTAGCGTCTTTGTATGTACGTGTGTGTCTGTGAGCCTCTCTGCAGATGTGTGTGTGCGTGTGTGCCCCCGTGTGCGTCCCGCTGTGTGTGTGGGACCTGAAAGGTCAGGTTGTGTTTGCTCATTTTCCACAGTGAAATCATTCTTCAAACCTGCGAACAATGTGAAAGGAAAACAACGTGGGGAAATGGAGCCGCCCAGCCGGGTTCCCGTCCCTCTGCTCCGGCTGCGACTGCAGCCCCCGGCCTGGCCCTCCTGCTCCCTTGGCCTCTCATCGTCAGGGCAGCACCAAGCCCGGGCCTGGATGGACTGCGGCGGCTGGGTGCCAGGGGCCCGCCCCAGCCTGTGGCAGCCTGCTGGTCTGTTTATTTTCCTTAAGCCACTGCCTTCCTCCATGGGGCTATCACTTGGATTAGTGTAGAATTAATTGTTTCCAAGCCCCAGCTTGACCAAACCCTGGGCCATGTTTTTCAAGGTCACCATTTCTGAGAGCCCCATTCCCTTGTTGGGTGGGGGGTTAAGAAGGAAGTTAAAACTTGTAGGAAGCTCAGGCTAAAGAGAACTCTTTCTAGCTGGGGATGACCCTGGGAGAGTCCTTTCAATCCAAGGCATGTCCTGAAAACATCTGTTGGTTATTGATAAGCATATCTAATGTACCATCTAAATGCTATAAGGACATAACTTAGTTTTTGGTGGGAAGGCACAGTGCACCATCCTCCTGCATTTATCTAGAAAGAAAACTATTTAGTAGTTTGGGAGGAGTTCCAAAGTCACAAGCTTCAAGTCCCAGTTGCCCACTTGCTCTCTGATTCTTGCCCCTCCCCTTGTCACCAACAAAGATTCGTCTGTGAGCAGGGGAGGGATTTAGGGAGCATCTGTGCCGCAGGCGGGGGCCTCTGACACTGGGCCCGCAGATGCCCGAAGAACTCTGGCCACAGGAGTTTCTGATTTTCCTGGTCTCCCCTCCCTAGTCCCTACCTGCTTTATTCCCTTCCAGTCTATCTCTACCCCACCCCCATTTTCCTCAAGAGCCTAGTTTAGTAGTTAAAATCATGGATTTTAGAGTCTGACAGGCTTGAGTTCAAGTCCCAGCTCTGTCACTGACTGTCTGACCTGGGTCTCAGTTTTTTCTACTTTAAAATGGAAGTGATATTAGTGCCTCACAAGTTGTGAGGAAAAGAAAATGCATATAAAGCACTTGACACAGTGCCTGACAGATAAATCTGTCCCTGCTCAATATATGCTACACACTTTGATTTTTGCCCCGTTCTCTCAACTCCTCCAAGTCTCACATCCGCCCTGGCTCTGTGTATCAGCGGTCGAGCCCCTGTGCGGGCCTGACCGCGCTCGGAAGGATGCCTCCGTCCACCAGAACCGAGGAGGCACTGAGTGCTCTGCGCTGTCAGGACGAGAGGTTAGGAGACTCGGGGAGGGATGGTGGCTGAGGCACTGGAGAGCCTGGCGCCTGCCTGGGGGAGGACAGTGGGTAGGCAAGCTGGGAGCAGTCTGGGCCTGTGAAAACGCCATCTCACTGGCCTCCCCGGCAGTTTCCACAGCAGCCTAGTCCCCCAGCCCCAGCCCCACGACTCTGTCCTGGGAGGTGGGGGGAACGGGGCAATTAGAGTTTTACCCCCAGCCCATGGGCTTTTAGAGAAATGCCTGACCCCTCTGAGAGGCAGAGGGTTCTGGTTCTCAGGCCCTCTCGCCCACCTCCAGGAAAGGGCCGCCACCCTTCCCATCCAAGCACTCTTGCGCTCTGCTGTTTGAGCACAGAGGATTTGTGGGGGCTGAGGTGGGGGCGGGGGGGACCAAAGGGAAGTTGCTGCCCTGTGAGTCAGAATGTCCTGGACTTCTCATGATTCCCAGCAACTGCTCCCTAACTAGAGGACCCTGATGAGCTGCTTCGGGACTCAGCAGAGCCCTGTCTGAGAGGTGTTGTTTCTGAGTAATCTCCTCTGGAGGTCACCTCGTCTAGCCCCCTCGGTGAGAATGGTAATTCTCCTTGGTAAATAGTTCTCTGTGTCTAACCCGAGTCCCTCTCGCTGTGATTTGAGCTTAAAGTCAACATTTGGAATTCCCAGGTGGTTACTCCTCATATGAAAGAAGAAAAAAGATCACCTGTAAAGCCCAAGGTGCAGACAATTTCGTGTTAGAACAGTCGATAGCGTGGCCACGGTTAGCTCAGCCCCCAGACCACAGGGTGAGGCTCAAGGTGGCAGCCACGCTCTTCTTAGGCCTGCGCACACCTGGAAGAAGCTTTCTGGCCTCATTCTCACACCAAGACAGCGCTTCCCATAATTCAGGAGACCAGCCTCTGTGGGGGCCTCAGTTCGCCCTGGACAATTCCCCACAAACGGGTTTAATTAACCATATCGCTGCTCTATCCCTGCCTGGTAATAGCACCCTCAATCCCACTGGTCCCCTTCACAGAATTTCCCTCGCGCACACCCCCGATGGAGAGCATGTGTGTCCTGAAGGACTGACGAGGGATCAGGCGCCCAAGACTGCCAGCCACGGAGACGAACCACTGAAGGAAAGTGGCAGGTGCCTCTTACCTGGGAGCAGGAGGAAGCCCAGGATGGCCCAGCACAGCTGCGTGGCTCCTACGGTCCCCATGTCAGCTGGCTATGTGGCGGGCAGGCAGCAGCTCAGTGGAGGCTCTGTCCATAGTGGAAAAGAGAGAGGGAGTGCTGGGGCGGGGTGGGGGTGGGGGCTGGCTCTCCAGGAGCTTCCTGCTAAAGAATAGAAGGAAACAGATTGGGACTAGCTCCAGGGGCCCCGCTAAGCCGGCAGCCCAGATGAGGATGTGAGGCTGCAGCAGCAGTGACCACAACTGCGTGCCAGGGCCCTGTGTGGCCTCTAGGGCCTGTGCACGGTGACCAGTGATGGCGACCTGGCCCGATCCCTATTCTCTTCTCCTCAGAGGGGTCCATCAGTTTCCGCCATGCACCACCTGGGGGCTTTCCTGGAGTCTGACTCCCATCCCATCCCACGCTGCTTCAGACCTGCTTCTCCTGAAGCTCAGCCCACCAGCCGCCCATGCTCTGTGCACTCTGAATTCTCCACATTCCTCTCCCTCCTCGGGGCTCCCAGTGCAGATGGGACTCCCGGAGTCTTTAGGGAGGCCCTACAAACATTACTGTGATTCTTAGTAGGAAAAAGGAGTGGGCCACACTCCAAGCTTCCTTCCCTCTGCCCCCATCGGGGTTAGGTGTTCCCTGTGCTGGGTGCACCCTGTCCTCCGCATCCGCGCAGCTCTTACACTGCAGGCCAGCATTGTCACTTTTCTGTACCCCCGCGACCTGGCACAACGCCTGCCATAGAGCCGGTCTTCAGCGTATATTTATTGAACTAAACTCAAAAAATTTAAGAGCAGAGAAATATTACACACAATCCTACCTCCTTAATATTAATTATATCATTGTCGTGGATTTCCTTCCTGTCTATATGCCTGCCAATCTGTGAAAATATGTGTATACATATATAATCATTTATAGGATTGGTATCCTTTTCTCCTTTTTTATTTTTAATGAATATTTTATTTTGAAGGAGTCACAGATTTACAGAAGTTGGAAGTACGTTACACAGAACTTTTTTCCCTGAACCAGTTGAGAGTAAATTGCTGATGGGATGCCCCTGAATAGTTTAGTGTGTATTTCCTACAAACCAGGACAGTCTTCTACGTAATCACAACGCAGCCATCAAAATTAGGAAATTGACATTAATATATTAATACCGTCTAATCTTTAGATCCTATTCCAATTTTGACACTTATGCCAATAATGTCCTTTATAGCAAAAGGATCTTGTCCAGAATTATTCATTCCATGTCTCTTTAGACTCCTTCGATCTGGAGTAGTTCAGTTTTTCTTTGACTTTCCTTAACACTTTGAATGTTACAGTCCAGTTATCTTATAGACTGTCCCTCAATTTGGGTTTATCTGATGTTTCCTCATGATTAGATTTAGGTTATTCATCTTTGGCAGGAATATCTTGGAAGCCTTGTTATGTCCCTCTCTTTGCATTCTATCAAATGATACATGGTTTTTGTTGTTTGGGTTTTTTTGGGGGGGAGGGGGATAGGGTTTTGTTATGTTGCCCAGGCTGGCCTTGAAACCCTGGGCTTACATGAACCTCCAGCCTCAGCCTTCCAAGTAACTAGGACTACAGATGCGCGCCACCTCGCCCAGTGTGCATGATTTTGATTCGTTCTGTTACTGAGGATGTTCACTTTCATCCCTTGCTTAAGGTGGTGTCTGCCGGTGTTATTAGTTTCCTGTGGCTACTGCAACAAATTACCACAAAGTGGTGGCTTAAAACAACAGAAATTTATTCTCTCACAGCTCTAGAAGCCGGAAGTTGAAATCAAGGTGTCGTCGGTGCCACACTCCCTCCAAAGGCTCTGGGAGATTCTGTTCCTCGCCTCCTCCTCGGCTTGTAGCCAAAGCACTTCAGTCTGTGCCGCCATCTTCACCTCACCTTCTCCTCCGTGTCTTCTCTTCTGTGTGTCTCGTACAAGGACGCTTGTCCTTGAATTTAGGACCCGCCTGGGTGATCTAAGATGATCTCCTCATCACAAGATCCTTAACTATGTCTGTAAAGACTCTTTTTCCAAATAAGGTAACATTCACTGGTTCTGGGGATTAAGATAAGGACATATCTTTTGGGGGGCCACCAGCTAGCCGACTACAGCCAGCTTTCTTCACTCTAAAGTTGCACCTTTCCCCTTTGTAATTAATAGGGATTTTTGTGGGGAGATACTTTTTATATGTGTATGAACTCATGTATTCCTGTTTTATTCAGTGGGGTATAGAATAATCTATTATTTTGAGGCTCAAATTGTGCCCATTTTAGCCACTGGGAACCCCTTCAAGCAGGCTTCTCTGTCCTTTTGACATGTCTCCATCGTTTTTCGAGCACTTTCTCACTTTCTGACATAATGAGATGTTTCAGGTTCATTGTGTGCTTCGCTGGCCTCAGCCCTGGAATCAGCTGTTTCTCTAAGAAGCCTTCATTCCTTTTAGTAGCCAACAGTATTTAGAAACTGAGAACTAGGGGGTAGATGTGCTCATTGGCACTAGGGGGTAGCTTCTCCAAGGCCCCTCTCTGAGTTCTGGCTGCCATGATCCTTAAGTATTTACTTACTTACTTGATCACTCCCCTTGTAGCGACCAAGCTCCCATCTCTGCCACCATCCCCACCTTGCAGATGCCCTTCACACCCCACACAGGCTCCTCCCGCACCGTACAGAGATGCCTTCCCTACCCTTCCTCATTTAAAGTGCACGATTCTGTGGTTTTTAGTATATTCAGAGAGTTGTTCAACCATCCCATCTAAAATCAATTTTAGAATGTTTTCATTGCCCCCAAAAAAGGACCCCAGATGCCTTACAGACCTATAGCTTTTACAGGGTGGCTAGAAGTGGAGTGTGGTTGAGGTGGGCAGTCCTTGCTCTTGGATTGCCCCCAGTGGCCCGAAGTGTCAGCTCTCAGACCTCTCCTGAGTCTGTCATGGCAACTGTCGTCTGGCCTGCCCAGGGTCCTCACAGGCCCCTCTCCTTCAGCTCCCTCTGCAGACTTCTAACCCTGCCTTCCTTCAGAGGAGACAGAGTGAGGGGAGAAGGGCTGCTTCTTGCCTTCCGTTGGCCAACAAGGCCACTTCTACCCTTCCCTGGGGAGTTGGAAATAAGAAGTGACCCCAAAGTCCAGAGCTGAGTCAGGGGCCTCCACCCCAGAGGGGTCTGCTGGGGAGGACCCCAGACTTTTCCTCTTTGGTTCCAGGGCTGGAGCCTCAAAAGTCAAGGCTTTCATTCTCTATGAAATAAGAGCAGATTCTTGATGATTTTAGCCCCCTGAACCCACCCTAAGAGGCTTTGTGACTACAAAATCCAGAAAGAGACAGAGGGAGTGAGTTGGTGAGGATTTTGTGGTGGCCCAGAAGTGCTCTCCAGTAGGCGAAGGATGCCCTGCTGCTGTAAGCCTCCTCACATTCTGTTTAGTAGCAAACGGTATTTAGAAACCGCAATCTGGGTGGTAGGTCCTGGGGGGTAGCCCTCCCCAGAGGATTAAGGACAGGATATATGTTGGGGTGGGGGTGCGTGCTTCCAGGTCCCAGTCCTATCAGCAAACTTTTTC